AATGCTTATCTCCCTGAGCTTGGCCTTCATAATTCCATTCCATCACACTTTTTAATATATCACACATAGAAGAAAAAAAATGGCAGTTAATACAGTACAAGACAATAGAAGCTGTCCTAATGTAGACTGTTATTTTGCATTTGATATTTATGTTAACTTTTATGACTAATTTCTTAAGACATTATTTTTTCTGTAGTAATCTTGGTCTACAGTTACTCCTATTATTGATGAAAATTATACAGTATTTACAAGATACTGACAAGACCAGCCAAAACAAAAGCTTCAAGACAATGTTTCCTTTCCTTATGTCATTTAATTCACTATCGACTGCAGATGTTTCCAAAAATTGGAACATGCTTATATCTTAAACCACATAAAAGTGATTAGCAATCCAGTGTGTATTTTTTTCATGCTTTCTCTCTTTAGCTGGTTTTCATACATCATTTCACCATGTAAATATGTCAGAAATCAGCCACCTTTTCAGATGGTCAGTATCATGCAATTTTCCAAGATTTCATGAATAGGACAAAAATAATTTAAAAACTAAATAAAATAAACAAGGGTAAAATCTCATTAGAATTGTTAGATGTTGAACATTTTTAATCTCTTTTTTTAAAACAAAGTCACAGGACACCATCTAGGTTAGAGCAGGTGGGGTGGTACTTGCAGCTGCTATGTTCCAAACTCCCAACGTAAGGCCCAGGGATGCAGAAAAAGGGGAATATCTGGTCGATAGGCCTAATCCAACCCAAAGCTTCAGAATTCAACTACAGTGTTTCTTCAGTGATGTATTCAAGACATGTATGCTGATGTCATAGAGTATCTTAATGAGGTGGATAATTACTTAGGAGTAGAGCATGTGTGAAACAGGCATCACAAATCTCTCTGGGTTAGTCAGAAGTAAAGTTTTATTGGAAGCGTTTGCAAAGGCTGGTGGGCTTCATTGCAAATAAGAAGCCACACCCACATACACACTCCGGCCTAATTATATACCTTCCCAATCACAAGACCCTCCCCTTTTCCCCATTGGCTAAGGTACTCAGGGTGTACACTCTTTCCGGCCGCTCTAT